ATGCTGGAGAGAGGAATGCACCAATGCACCGGAGAGCCTTCTGTCTTCCAGGGCTGTTTTCAGGGCTACAGGCAGGGAGAAAGGCTGGAAAACCCCTCTCCATCCCTTTGAACTGAGGCACACAGCCCACTCATAGTAACACAGTAGGACGTGGCAGAGCTGACACTTCAGTGTCTCGCTTGTCAGGGAACTCTGCCCATCTGGACTATCTTCAACATAAAAGAAGGTACAAGCAAGTGAAAAATTAACGCTGCTGGATCGTGACTTCAGAACAATAGGAGTTTGTCCTGGGAAGGTTTACCTGATGCACTCACTGGATAAGGAGGCACAGACAGAGCTCCAGGAGAAAGAACTGGATGTTCCTAATTCCAGTCCCGGAGTCAGGGCGCCTGCAGATAGGTGTGGTGAAGCTGAGCTCTGCCACACCTACAGCTTCTCCTGGGTCCAGCCCTCACTGCTTGGCACACTCACACTTAGAACAGCAGAGGTAATGCCCTAGATTAGCCACACTAGCTTTTGTTTGGTGCAACTGGAACGATTTAAATATTACATGCATTTTTCCTCATCTATGCTGTGCTTGTGTAGTGTACTGCAGTCAGCTTGGAAAATGAAAGTAGTTACTTTTTTTTACTTTTTAGATGCCCATATCCTAGCAAAGTATCGTGCCAGTCAGAATGTACAGTCCAGAAATCATGTATTATTGTGTATGTGTGTTTACATTTCAAATAGTTTCCCTGCAATCTTTGATTACACAGAAACTTTTCCACTAGTCTTAGCTTATTCAAGAGTTCTTGCTGTATCTAAACTCGGAAGCCAAAGCAATTTTACAATACTCTACTGGCTGAGATAACTTCTTTACCAAACTCTGTATTTTCTAGTTATTACAGTTCATAATGTACTTGAGTGCATCATATTTGAACTCTGTCCTGATTCTGCGAACATCTAAGTACATATTCAAGACTAAATATGCATCTTTAATGTGTTAAGACACATGCATCAAGACAGGTGCATCAAGATACATGCATCAAGATACGTGCATTCTTCAAGGATGCAACATAAAATATTTCTGTAGTAAGTAATGAAGCCATAGCAAGCTGCTTGGGTAGAGGATCAAGAACCTTCAATTACTAGCCATGGCAGGAGATAAGTACAAATTTTTGGTTTTGCAGAATCCTAAATAACTGATGACTAACACAAATGTGACACACACAGTCCATTGAAATGCCCCAAGCAGAAGTCAAAGTTTTAAGTTCACAAAATGTTTTATCAGAATGAGTGTGATCATGGTTTTTATTGAAATCTGTGCTGCAAAATCAAGACTTCTGAATCAAACAGTGGAGTATGACTCAATTTTTTTAATTTTTTTTTTCTTTCCCCCTATGGCTTTATTCCTTAATATTCAGATTATCTTCTTGGTGAGAAGATAAGGTTCATGATTTATAGAGAGTGACTGATTTTTAAAGCTCTCTATTGCACCTTTACCTGACACTTTTTAGCTTATTCTAATGCACTCATTCTTCTGTTTGGGACATAGAAAGCTAAATAAAAGCATTATACATAAGCTGCACAAAACACAGCGAAACTATGCAATACAAATATTTTCCACATGAGGGAAGAGGTGGCCTTTCTCACTCAGTGCTGTCTTTTTCTGTCTTCCCAGGACATAAGTGAATGGTGGGAAAATACAATGAGGCGGCTTATTCTACCCTCATAAATATTTGCTTGCCATCGATCCGCTGTTCCTCTTCTGAAACTGTCATCGTGCCCGGCGTTATTTTAGGAAAAAAGCAGGCAGTGCTCAAATGACAGCCGGGAGAGCGAGGAAGAGCCAGTCGCGCACGGGGTGAACTCCGGGTTTTACAGCCCTCGTAGCCTGCGGTTTG